GAAGGGAGACCAAGGGAGGAAAGGACCGGTGATGGTCAGGGAGAGGGGGGGGGGCGGGGGTGTACTCATGGTCGTGCATGCCGTAGTCGTTAGACCGTTGACCTCGCATCCCTACAAAGCCGGGACGGAGCACGCCGGGTTCTCACCGGACCAGGCTCTCACATCACCAAGCGCGAGGCGCCGTGAGATATTCGGCGAGTCGCATGAAGGGTGCCCTGCATCCTGCTAAGGGTGTTCGGCATCTTGTGCTTACTTCCTTGCGTACGGATGACAGCTGCGTGTGACTTAATTTATTTTCTGGTGCTTTCACTTCCTGAGACAGTTGCAAGCACTGTGTAACTGCCTCGAGGGTGCTTGACCATTACAACACAACGTGGTTCGATCATCCCGTTTGCGCGGAGTGAGGGTTCTCGACCCCGCAAAACATGATCTACTCGACCACCATTATGGTTACCGCCAAAAAACAAAAAACAGTTGTAAGAAAAACGCCGGCAACCTGGTTGCCGAGTTCACGAAGTGAATTGGCTTGTATTATAACGTCGTTGGCAAGCGACGAAAACCCAATCCCGATGGCAAACACCGACGGGGGGGTTTGTTTTACCACGTCGTTGCCAAGCGACGAAAACCCAACCCCGATGGTAAACACCGGTTAGGTGTGGGGGGTCTATTGTATGGTAGAGGATTTAGTATGACGATACCGAAAGGAAGACAATAATAAGTATGATACGGGTTTTAGAAACCGGGACGAAAGCCTACACAATGAAGTTTGCATTGGTTTTACTATAGACACACTATGCCCTATTCTGTAGACTGCTGCACGTGAGCGGCGCAATGTGGCTATCCCGCGTGTCAATCTTTGTCCGGGGCGGGTGGGGGGGGGTGTTCCATGGTTTCCACATGGAGGCCCCTTGGCGAGAGAGATGTCCCTTTGTTTACCCCAACCCCCGAAAACGGCCCGTTCGTTCTATTTTTCGGTTGTTGGTCTTCCGTCCAAAGGGGCTTTCAGTTCATCCAGATCTTGTCATTGCCATTCGCTTTTGGTTTTGCTTGAATGTAGCTCGTGAAAATATTTCTCTGTTCGTTGAAATTCGGGCTGTAGTATGAAGTGCGTCCAGTGGTGCACATTGCCACACATAATTAAGTTGGACGCTGTTGCTGTCGAAACGTCAGTTGCATGATAGACTACCCTCAACAGACTCTGACTCGAACCTCGGCCTCTGTCGCCATTCTCTCCGCTGCTTCTACCCTTCTTCTATCTTTTCGTTTTCAATAATTGTGTTTCGCCTCTTGCCGACTGTTATTCTCGATGGGGCGTAATTTTGTTCCGGTTTGGCTGTTTCGTTTCGAGAAACAGGAACCAGGCACCAATGACGAAATCCAGTTGGGCACGTCATCTTGGCCGGGCCATCATGAAACACGCGATTTACAGTGTCCGGCGCTGCCTGTTCGCCAATAGGCGCTAAATACAGATCCGCTTGCACGATGGTTGCTCGCAGGCTGTCTTGACAGCAGCAGTAGCCTTGCAAGGAAGTTAAGCTAGGGCTTTGTAGATGGTACGGTGTTGGGTTAGGGTTAGGGATAGCCCCCCCTCTCTATTTCACAGATCAACCTGAAATCCTCGCGGGTGTGATCCTGTCTCGACCGGTGGGTGTCCCGTCGCGTGCCGAAGAGGTGTGGCGTATGCGCATGAGCTGTAGCTTTTGTGTGAACCACGGGCCTCCTTGCGTGTCTTGTTAGCCTTGTCTGTTCCACGCATGTGTGCGCGTCCTCGTGCCTGCTGCTGTCGCGGCCGAAACGCTCGCGCCCGTCGGCCAGGACTTTGCAAAGGCAAGGGGTGCGACGTACCCCGTCTTTGCCAAGGTCGAGGTGAACGGCTTCGGCGCCATCCCCCTCTACAAGTTCCTGAAGGACAGGCAGGGCGGGGGCTTGGGCATCTCCGCCATCAAGTGGAACTTCACCAAGTGCGTCCGTCCGCGAATCGCGAAGTCCGTGCGCTACACACAGCGTTGTGTGTCTGCCACCCTTTTTTTGTATCGCACCAGCGCTTTGGGGAGTGTCTGGCGCTGTGTGGTGGGAGCAACGTGTTGATACAGTACTCTCCTGGGTCCACCTCATCAAGAGCCTTGGTGCAACCTTTCTAGGAACTTGCTTACTCAAATATGTGTATGTGGTGTGTAGTCCAGAAGGAAGCGTGTGCTGGTTCAGGCATTGCTGTCGTCGTTTGCAAACGTTGTTTTCCAGGCCGGGAAAATGTCTGGACCAAACGTAGCAACCGTGTTTTGGTCGTAGCCTCCACAGGCACCATGTACTACTGTGGAGGGGAAGCATGTTCTTGTCCGAGTGTTGTCAGTTCCGGTTCTACAAATCAGCACCTTGTTTCGTTGGCGCGGCCGCGAGATTGACCATGCGCCGTCCGCCCCCGTTCATGTGCACTCCCCCCTCCCCCCCCCCCC